TTATGTTGAAGGCCTCAGGGTACTCGAATCAACAGATCTGTTTAAGAAACCATGTTCTTCTCGTGATTTTGGGATCCACAGAATTGAAAAATGGTCAGATTCACAGGAATTTTTGCCTCTCAGTAGGGTGAAGAATAAATGTATGTTTTTGAGACTGGATCAGGGAGATTACGCAATTTCTTTGCTTCATACATATAATGAGTGAATTTCCATTTTCGACTGTGGCGAGATAATTATTTGAAGATATATTTTACACCTTAAGCTTGGAATGAATCAAATAAAAAGAAAATTTTTATTTATAGATTTATCAATCTTTCCGAAAAAGTAATCGTACTTGAACCTCCAAATTGATGGATCACAAAAAAAATTTCAGTCGTGAAGTGGTCAATCCGTCAATCGGTTCAAGTCGATTTCAGAAAACTGTTAGTTTTTGGAGGATATCTCGAAATCTATCAGAGATACGAAAATTTTGATGGGAATCCTTTTTGTAGATCTCATTTCGCTCTATAAAAAAGCTTATCATCAAAAATTTGCTATCTCGTCTAGATTGTGAGATATATTTGAAAAACAAACAGTTTTTCAAAATGGACTTAAACCGATTGACCACTTTGTTGCTGATTTCTTGCTCAAAATATGCATTTTCAGTTATTTATGCATGAATAATATTAACAGAAGAATTTATTGATAAATTTGCTATTCAAATGTTTCTTGTTTGTTTCGGCGAAGGCGATACATACTCAATCAATTAGTTTTCTGTCAAATATTCCGTGGACGAATTGAAGAATTATGCGCTCTCGTTGTCTTTTTGTTTGAAAAAAAATTTATCCCAATAAAATTTGCTTCTGAGTGACGCGAACGTGTTCTGACGCGCATGACGCCATTTTGGATTGAGGCCCACCGGCACACCGGCACACCGGCAGTGTTCTCTCCACGTTGTGGGCATACTGATTGATTTTCCGTTGAACAACTCTCGAACAATTACAGAATAAATATACCTAATAATTTTCCACTCAATTTTTGTTAATAATTTGTGGAGGAGAATCGTTTCCTCTCGGAGGCGGCGTGGGCCACTTGGTGGTAATCACTATTGTTGATTGTGCTTGCACTCGATTTGATAGCTTCTCACAGGAATACAACAATAACTCGAAGGTAAGTCTGTTTCTCATGTTCATTGTTCCTTTGCAAACATAAAAACAAACGTTACATCATGCTTCTGTTTCACTTTCATCACGAAATGTCTGTCTCTCAAGGTAACTGTAGTCTAACCTAAAAAAAAAATCACATCATTTTTTACTCGTCGAATTTCAGTTACGTTGAATTTGTTTGCCATATTATAATTGAAATGTATAACGTTAGAGTTGAACAAAACCAGCCTCAATTGTGAATTTTGATTTTTTTTCCTGGCTTCAATTTTAAGGATGACTGAAGAGAACGAAAATGAAGACTTCTTCGAAATTGTGGAATTTGTCAACGAACGATGTCGTGATGGAAAAAAATGCCTTGAGATCTCTGGTCGCACATGGATAGTGAATAGAGTTGGGCAGAGGGCTTCTTGTTATTTCCCACCACTGAAAGATTATGGAAAATTAGATGAATGGCTAAAAGAAAAGGCTGGACCAGTGTCGACGTGGGAACGATTTGATGTAGAGATTCTTGGTAGTGCAGGTAGTTGAATTGAATAATTCAGTTGAATGAGGCATGAGTGAATGAGTGAGTGATCATGTTTAATAATCCAATTTTTATCGGCAGCCACATACAAAAAAGCACAAAAGAAACTTAAGCACTTCTATAAGAGCCTCTCAGATTTAGAAACAACTGACGCAGAAGGTGAAGACACGCAGGTTTCCAAAATCTCCAAGAAACGTGCTCAGGCGATGCTGAACGTCGTGTATCCCTTGGAAAATATAAACGAAGAATCTCAGGACGAAGCCACAGCAGACAATGACGTTCAGAAGAAAACTCAGACTGCTGTCGTTTTACAAGGCCCTGCTCAGGATCCACCAAGAGTGTCTCGATCAACAAGTGAGTTTTTTTCATCTCCAAAAGAAAAAACCATTACACCTCATGTATTCCCCTTAGAATTTCTCTGTCACACGTTTTTCCATGAATTTTCTTAGATGATAAGAGGTTAGCTCCAGCAAAACCTGACAAGAAGGCAGAATTGGAAGCACGTGTGCTCGAATTGCGAGAAGAGGCCGGAGATGATCATTTAAAACGTAAGAGAAGAATATAGATTCTAAAAGTCGTTCTTTAAAAGGAAATTATAAATATCGTTTTTTCACAGAGTTTATTGTTGATTATTTTGACGCAACATTAAGTTTGACCCTGCATAAGATCAGAAATGACCTGGAAAGTCTGAAACGCTCAAGCAATTATGATCTGAAGAAAACGAAAGATGAATTGAAGGAGTCATTTGCAGTTCGTCCTTTTGCACAGAACGATTCTAATATCAAACTTGTGGAGAAATTGGGTACTGCTCTGCCCATAAAAAATGCAATTGATTTCGATACATGGGAAAAATCGTTGAATCCAGAAGAAAATGCAGAAAATGCTGCTGCAGCAATTGAAAAACTGAAAATTCTGGTAATTCGTATTTTTCATAACAATTATTGTTCATTGTTGTATGCTTACTGAAGTTCTATTCACTACAGAAACAATTCATGAGCATCGAGACATCAGGATCTACAGATCATGCAGCTGATATAAAAACTATCCTTAGTCTACTGATAGCTAAAGCCGTTCAATTGGAACACAGTGGTGCTGGTCGTAAAGTGCATGGCATGGGCAAAAAGAATTTCAGTGCCACTTGGACATACAAATGCATGAATGGTTTGTTAAACTTCTTTATGAAGTGAAGAAAAATATTGAGTTCAACTACTCAATCAAATGATGATATTTTTTCTTTTTTCTCCAGAATATATCAAAGAGAAATACGGAAAATCAGAGAAAGAGTTGAAAATTTTGTCAAACACGAGCCAATTTCTATCAGGAGCTTCTGATCGCGAAGGAGGACGTGCTGCGAGGACAACACGAGGTCTACAAAATAATGAATAATCTACAGAAACACTTGTTCATATAGTTTATTATCGTTAGAACCTATTTTTTAATTTGAAAGGTTCAAATCAGAGTCTCTGTAAATGTTTTATTATTCAGAGTTTATGTGATAAGACATCACAAATCTTTCATCTGGGTTGCGCTTTACTTTAATATTTTTTTAAATTGATTCTCTTCAACATTCGCCAATTTCTTCCAATTCTATTTTTTGTTCCTGAATTTCTATAAACATCAAAATGGCTAAGCTATCCATAATAATAATTTTCCAATGTAAGTGTAATACATTTCCTTGAAAGACTAAATAAACAAAATGTTTCGTAACAGCAAGAATATTCGAAATTTTTAATGACTGAACGACATTCTATTGGTCTGTCAAGGCTTGGCCATAGCTTGTGGAAACATTGGCCATGTCTTGATCATGAACTTCGGCCGTATTTTGGAAGCGATCCTTGGTCAAATCTTGGTTGCAACCTTGGGCCCTGTCTTGTTCACAGTCCCGGGCCTGCCTCGTTGACACTCTTGTACCAAGCTCGACAGCCAGGCTCGCGTTGGCGTTACTATCCGGACTTCACCCAAGATCGGCCCAGCCAAAAGCCCCAGTGTCTGGCCAGTCCTGAGAAGGCTTGGTTCAAGCCTGGGCCGCGCTCGGCCCGGTTGTTAATTCCCATCTGGGAGTTGGTTGATTTCTCTTCTCAGCAGAGATAGGGTGATGATTCCCAGCAGTGATGGGTGATGATTGAGTGAAAGGGCGATGTCCTTTTGAGACTGGTAGAGTCTGTGGAATTCTTTAGCGATATACTGATAATCGTTGTAGATCATCAGCCAGAATGCACTACGGTGTATGCTTCCAATAAACGCTAAAGGTGGCACAGGAGAATGCTCCTGTGCCGCTAAACGCCTCATACCGCTAACTCGGTTTTCTTCACAATTATAGTATTAAATATTTTTTTGTCAATTTAATCAATTTATGATGATTTAGTAGTTTCCAAAAAATTCCGGCTTCAACCATTTTTAATATATAAAAACAGATAATCAAATTTTACGACTTTTAAAGTATAAGTTTTGCGGACCAGGAAATGAGGTTTTTTACATTTTTAACTCGCGTATTCCGATATTGAACGCTTATTATTCAATTTTGTAGCCCTTCGATTAGAGATTTCACATACATTTTATCTTCTTACTCAATTCGAATCAATAGCGCAAAGCCACCAATAGCGCTAAGCTGAGGTGCTCTGTATCGCTATGTTGAGCAATGAGGCGGTGACACCTCAATGTTTGTCAGCTTGTCGAGGGAAATGCTAATTGTTAAACAAAATTACGTAAGTACAACATAATCATTATTTTTAAAAAATGACGTATGTTGAGCATTGTTTGAGTCATATATTCGTTAATAAATATAAGAATGGTCGGAATATGTGATGACATTAGGAAAACGGGGGGAGTTCATAGTAAGGTTAGGGGTCTTATTGTTTTTCTCTGTTGTCCATACCAGAATGTCGCCAGCAAAGATTTAATTTAATTCCATCAAGTCCCCGTCACGTATTTTGCGGAGAAAGGCACATTTGATTAATAAAACAAAAATTTATTAAAATAACATGATTTTTTCTACGTTTCAGGTGTTTTTGACTCTTCCAAGAGCAACTTTTAGGAACTACTTTTGATGAAAATATGGTCATTTGAAAGTCACCCTTAAGTGACTCAATATCTCCTAAAATCTATCGAAATCATGATTTTAAAGAAATATTTTGTTAGTAAAACAGATACACCCTTTTTCCTCAAAAGAACATGAGAAAGTTTATTTTATTTGCCCCCACTCAAACCCACTCAATTAGCTATGGAATAAACAATTACATAGTTAATTATTCTCCAGATGAAAATATCAAATGTTTTCATTTCTTTTATTAGTTAGTGTTATTTGGAAAATGTTGAGAGTTATTGCCTTCAGAAAAGGTTACAATGTGAGGAATAAGGGCAACGGAGCTAGCGATATTAAAAATCTATCTAGCGATATTATGCGTCGGCGAGTACTACCACTTGATAGGCTCTCATTTATCATTTTCATTTATATTATAACTTGGGTATATGATTGGATTTCTAAATTTTGGGAAAAACCAGACGAATAGTTACCGAACGCATTAAAATAATTGTGTCCATTTTTCATCAGGAGCCCCCTACATGGTCCTCGTATCCAGATTGGCTTGGTCTCTGGGGCAGAAAACAAATCTTCTAAGTCGCAATTTAATTAAATTATCTGTTCTTTCGTGGTCTTAATCCAGCTCAATTTTGGGATTTCATTACACTCACTTTCGGCAAATATAGTTACGGACTTCTCTAACATTGCGTTTTGATGTGGGCTAGCGACCTTGTCGATTTGCCGATGGAAACATGGCAAGTCTATTTTTGTGGCTCGTAATAGATATCGAAATTGTTGCTCAGGTGTTATATGCCGTAGAGTAGTTCCTCTGCAGTTATTTTGACGATGATCTTTCATTCCGGCCTGTCGACGCGTACAAGCAGATCACGCCAAGCAACCGGACGGAACATAATTTCTAATATATCTATCCAATATACCTAAATATAATTTTGATTGTGGTTATCTCGGAGTGAGCTGTATATTTTGTTGGATTCTGTATGGGCCATCCTAGTCGTAAGATTCGAAATTTTATTCATGGTTATGCTTACTATACCTTAGAATCGACGAACCAAGGTGACCTTGAGTCAGAAGCCAACCTCGCCTTATTCGGATGGAGCATATATCGCTTACTTTCTGCGTCCTCAAGAATTGAATGGATTTTTCCCGTTATATCGACTATTTTGAAGGAAGTCTTAGAGTAGATATCCAATTCAACTTTCCTCGATTCAACTAAGATGTCAACAGACTAACCCACTAGGAAAACGTCGGGGCGGCTATTTTGATCGTAATAAACCTTGGATTTTCGTTCGACTTCATTCAGATTGTCTGCGCCTACCATTTGGACTTTATCTAGTCGCGTTATTAGATCCACTACGTAGTCATGGTAAGTTTGGATATTCTTTCCATCGGGAAATGCTGTCGGAGCATGAGCTGTTTGGCCGAACATGAATTCAAAAAGGGCAAAACCAGTCGCCGAATGATCGGAGCAATTACAACAAAACATAGCGAATGACAATAATACATCCCGGTCATCCATGTCTTCCATTACTGTCGAGATACAACCCATCAGCACTCGGTATCTGCGTTCTAGTGATCCATTTGTTAGTGACCTATGACCTGCGGTAACTACTTGGTTTACCCTAAAGATCTCATTGACTGAAGCAAAGAGCTTGCTGGTAAAACTCGTCCCCCTATCCACCAGAGAGGACTCAAAACCTAAGTAATGATTCTGAAACTTTCTGATTCAGGGCTTGTTCATCAAGTTTCTGGTGGTATCGCGAGTCCAATTAGCTCTGGAAAGCTTCGTTATGGAATAATGAAGGCACTGGATGGACAAGTCCGGGATGCTTGTCAATTTTTTTTCCAGAGTCGAACCTAACACAGAAGAAATGGACAAAATTACTTACGTGATACTTTTCAGAATTCTTCGGGACTGTTAATTTCAATCTGGTCTTAAAATAGCGCCTTTTTCCAGATCTTACAGTATTCTTATGGAATCGGGGTAAAAAAGGGGGTTTTATATGACTTTTTCACAATGTGAATATTGTAATGAAAGTTCGATTTTGTGATTGTAGAAAATATAGTGAAACGACATGGATGAAGATCCAAAATGGGCAGTCGTTCATTGGGCAGTCGACAATTCTATTTCTGTTTTATCCACTAGAGATATCAGCACTGACTTAAAGGGAAATATTCTGGCTGAATGGGAAAATCGAAAATGGAAGGTCAGGGAGATTTTGGAGATGAGTGGTAAGAATTTTACCACTGTCCAGCGCCCCACGCATGAAATAATTCAATAGAATCCCTACCGAATCCACTAAGGCATTTTATTGAATATTTATAGAAATTCGACAGGGCTTCTATCGAATTTCTATTGGAATTATCTTGAACAATTTCAGTCGTTTTTTGTACCAATTCTATTAGATATTTGATAGGAAAATTGAATAGAAGTTGAAATTCTGTTAGAATTTTTCTTTTGAGGTTTCTTCCATAAAAATGCGAAAAAGATTTCTTTTTTCAGACGACAAACAGTACCTAGAAAAAATGGACTTTTCTCCAGGAGGAACTAAACTCCCTACAAGAGGAAGACTATTAAAAAATAAAAATAAAAATTTCTATTCAAAATTATTGAGTGCAAAAACATTGAGTGATGACGATAATGAGTGTGGTGATGACGGAGATAGAGAAGACGACACTGAAGAAGCCTCGATCAGGAGTGCTGAGAGTGCAGCAGAGGATGACGATGAGATAGGAGAAATAGCTGAGAGAGGTGAAGAGCGGGAAGACGATGTGCCGGAGAAAAAACAAAAGCGTCATGAACGACTCGCTCAAATTTACGACATCTCCGAGGGAGAGAGTGAAGATGAACTCGGTAAACTGTACATTCTTAAACATTTGCCGTTGGATTTTCCCGCGCATTTTTTGGAAATTCTCATCAGGTTATGATTCTCCGGCAATATTAAAAGATATTAAGCTTGACAATTGACTTGAAAAATGAAGCTAGATTGTAAAGCCCCGCTATCGATATTCGCATCCACAAAACGGGCCTCGCGTCTCGTGTCTTCTGAAGCATGACTCTCAAGCATTCCCAAGTGAAAACTAAGTCAGGCAAGTGTGAGTTTCGATCAAGACTTAATATGGCAATAGTCAGTTTCAATACATCAGGACTTAATGAGGAATTGATCGGTTTTTGATTTACTCAACTTGATCCTCATTACTCTGATCGGCTTGATAGAATGAGCTTGATCTGAGCATCAAGTTCCTTCGGTCGTTCGTTCGTTCGTTCGTTCGTTCGTTCGTTCACCTATAATCACTTTGATCAAGTTCGGATGAGGTTAGACTGATCTTGGACTGAGGTCTGCTCACCCAGCATCATTTGGATCAGATTCTGATCAGGTCAATTTGACTTTAAATAGCGCTGTAATTACTCCGATTACGGAAAAAATAGATTAAATGGGCTTGTACTCAAACTGAGATCCATCCGAGTGCAATTATTTGAATCAGGCTCTGATCAGGTCAGCGTGACTTGAAATCCGGCAATCGTTCTGATTAACTTTCGATTAGGTGGGCTGGAGCTAAACCACTTAATTAATAATCTATTAATCTGTGTTTTGTCGTAAACGGAATCTATTAAATGGACAAAAAAAGAAGAGATAGTGCCATAAATACGTCCATAGTAAGAGTATCAAACTAAAAATTATTGTTATTATTATTATCATAAGTATAATCGGTAAAATTTTTATTGAATAAATTTTCGCTTCTGCAATACATGCGCCAATTCAAGAGATTGTAAACAATTTTAACATGAAAAATTGAACTCCCAGTTCACTCAATAATAATCGAGTGACAGGCGACTGGTTAGACCAGGGATGGGCAATCTCCAGGTAGCTCGGAGCAGAGCTATAAACTCGAATTAGAAATCCAATAAAGTTTACAACCATTTCAATAATAAGGGTCTTAGTACTAGCATAGTGGGGGCAGTAGTGGGGGCTTCACAGGTACTAAGGTGGGGAGTGTCCCATGAAGCGTCTGGCAAAGGGGAAATTGGGAAAAATACCCGTCGCGATTAATAAAAAATCAATGAAAAATCAAAAACTGAACAACAATTTTCTGAATAAGCTGATGTGAGAATTCCTCGTAATTCTGAATCTTATTGCCTTAAAATCTGAGTTCAATTTATAAAATGAATAAATTTCCTACCGGTACGAATTGATCAAATCCTGAAATCTTAATTGATTAATTATATATTTTGCCCACTCTTAGCCAGCATTTTCCAATGCTGTTCAACGGAAACCACGGGAAGGTGGTAGGCGTATTCCGTCAGGAATGGGAAGGGAAATATAAGGATAGGGAAATTGATGGGAAATGTTAAGGATCCGAAAAATATTAATAATAAGAAGGTGATCAATACATAATATATACATAATATAATTATATAATATATGAATCATGCATCATGCAGAAATTCGGTACTCATGCGAATGAAAGATTAAAATTATAGAGCAGATACCATTAAAAAAAAAAGTGTCAATGGGAAGGGTGGGCCGTCATGGTGAGGGATAATTTTTTCAAATCCGGCTGGTAATTACTAATTGCCACTAAAATCGCGTCATTAAGTGAAGAATCTGTTAAAAGCGTTCGATCTGACGATTTAATATTGTTCATATGCGAAAATGCCGATTCGCTTAAGTAAGAAGTACCGAATAGACTACAAATTTGTTTATAAGTGATTAACAAATTTGGATAACAATTATTCTGAGAAATCTCATACCATAGCTGATCAATATCGGTAATTGCCAGAAAATGCTCATCTCACCGTAAATTGTTCACTTTGTGATATAACTCGATCGCGCTTACGGAATGGTGATTTTTGATGATCAACGGTATGATATCATTGAAGTCCACAGCTGAACTAAGCGGATAACGTAGAAATTTAATAATTTCGCCCGTTTCAATTACGTCCGTAAATCTTGAATTTATATTATCCAAAAGTTCCTGTGTGCACTTCGAAAATTTATGAAAATCTAGCTGAGTGTTGTGCTCGTTCTTGACAAAAGATCGCAAACGTATAAATGGGAAAAGAATAGAATTTTTGCCGAACTCCGCGATTGCACATAATAAGAAATTTTTCAAATTATCAAGGCATTTGAGGTGTTGCCAGAAGTATCGGCGAGAACCTTGCATTTCTTTATTATAAATATTGATATTCTCAATTAAGTCCCCTGTAAATGCTAACGTTGAAAGCCATGCAAAATCAGTTAATTCATCGGGTACTCCCTCACGTGATTTTAAAAAAGAAACAATGTCGTTCAAATTTTCCCAAAATCGACAAAGCATAATACCCTTACTGAGCCACTTCAGTATGATATAATAAATCGCGAGATTCTAAATTGTTCTCGTCTTTGAAAACATTATACAGCCTATGTTGCAAAGGTTTCGAAATTATAGAATTGATGATTTTTACTACTAAGGTTATTACGTCTCCCGAAATTTTTTTTACGCATAAAGCTAGTTGATGTAACATGCAATGATAGTGATTAAATTTGGGGAAATCGGCATCATTATTGCACCTCGCAATGAGACCTTTCACGCCACCGGTTATGTTCGCGGCACCGTCCGAGGTGATAGCTACCAATTTGTGGAGTGGCACTTTTGCAGAAATGAAATTTTGTTTTAGAGCACCAAAAATGTCTTCACCTTTGGTGTTTGTTTTTAAAGAAATTAAAGTGAATAACTCTTCTCGAATGGAGAGATCCGAAAAAATTAAGCGAACAAAGACGGCGAGTTGAGCGTGATCGGATCTATCTGTCGATTCATCTAATTGTAATGAAAAAAAACTACAACGAGAAAAGTCATCTGCTAACTGAGAACGAAGGTCGGCACCGATTGATTGAATTCTTCGCATTATTGTGCGTCTTGAAAGCGGTAAATTTTCCACAAATCTCGATATTCTTTCATCAAGTACGGTTTCTCGAAATAACGTTTCCATGTGGGTCCGAAAGAGCTCTTTATATTTTTCACCGGCACAAAATGATGATTTTTCTTTCGCGATTT